AGTATCTTCTCCATAATTCTTACATCATTAATTGCTTCTCCATTTCTCTTCATTTGATTAGTTATTGTCTAAACTCTACTAAAATAGTCTGATATTGATTCTGTAGCTTTCATCTTCAAATTTTCAAATTCAACTCGTAATGCTTGGAGGTGTACCTTTTTGGCTCTTTCCGCACCTTGATAGGATTTTTATAAAATCTCCCATGCTTCTTTAAAGGACATGGCGTTGAAAATCTTCTCAAATGCTGATTCATCTACGCCTTGGAATATTAGGAACAAAGCTTTTTTGTCTCTTTTTCTAACCTCCTTCAGCTCACTCTTCTATGTGACGGTGAGAGTTGCTTCTACTGCAGGTGACTCTGGTTCAGTGTAGTCATTCTCCACAAGCTCTCACAAGTCTTGTGAGCCGAGCAAGACTTTCATCTGGATACTCCAGTTGTCGTAATTAGTCTTCATGAGCTTCGAAATCTATGGCTGGATCATGTTCATCATCTCGTACACGAGCACCTTCGATTGGCCCGGCTAGATCGAATCTTACTCTAATACCACTTTGATGGAATTTATAGAATACAACCCTCTACGCAAAGGAACCTTTTATTGATAGAGCACTAGAAAGTACAATACTTGCCCTTACAAGAGCACCTCACTTTCACACAACTTTTTATTTTGGTGAACACTCACACAAGCCTACACTACACACTCAAGCTTTTAATCTTACTTCTTGCTTGCTTACTTGCCCAAATGAGAGCCCAAGATCCCTATTTATAGTTGCTTAAGAGGGCTAGGAAGCGTGTGGAAGAATCAATCCTAGCCATACATTATTACCACATTCTACATACTTCTCCTAAAAGATCTTCTTTCTACATCCTTCTATAATTTTCTCTTAAAAATATATTTCTTCCACATTTGTTGAGAAGCTTCCATTGTCTTGGGCTTAGATGGAATGGGTTTGGGCTTTTATTTTCCCAGGACTGAAAATTGGTTATTCTTTGAAATGGGTTAGTGTTGATCTTCAACAATGGCAAGGACACTAAACAGTACACATTAGCCTCATGACTTCTTTTCTATTGAGTACTAGCGAAAAGTAGTATTTTCTCTAGTTTGATTGATGGATAGTATTAATGGGGTTTATGAATATGAGATCATGTTAGTTAATCATTGAAAAAACCCCAAGTTCATTGCAGTTTAATGTAATTTATCCAAAGATGTTGGTCGACTTACTTGCATGAAGAGTTTAGGTATTGAGATCAATTAGAAGCGAGTAGCATAGTAGTTTATTAATTAATCAAATTATAGCAATGGCTGCGGCAAAATTCTGAAGGTCCAGCAAGAGATATGTTGAAATTAAGATGATCTTGTTAGGCTTTGTTCCCTTGAATATGCTACGGTTCAAACATGTGACGCACCTGGGTTCATCCTTTTTTTTTTTCTTGTTCATCTTGTCTACATGATCAGGAAGAGGATCTCCTTTCCTGAACAATAAGGGTGTACACGGTTCAGAAATGTGACGCACTTGGGTTCACACAAGGCTGCAGTCTAAGGTGAATCTAAAAATGTCAAACCTATCATGCACTAACATCGTACAATAACTTGTTTCACCATCACAGTTACTATCTCTCTATTGGAATCAACAAATAGGTGAATGTACAAAACATGCAAAAAATAATGAAGTAGTACAATAAACAGAATAAACACAAAGGAAGTGTATAAATAACCATCATCAGAGCCCAACTGAAATAGAATAAAATAACTCCGAATCTGGAATAATTGTAATATGTCTCAACACAAGAGTCAAATAAAATGCCACTAAGGTACTCAGCCTCTACAAAATAAAAAATACAAACTCTAATGTTAGAAAAATAAACAACTATTATGGAGCTCTAAAAATAACTACAAATATAATATAATAGATGAAAACTAGAATGCAACTCCACCAACCTGCGACTCTCCATGCACTTGACTCGTTATCTAAAAGGGGGAAAACAACGAGCGTTAAAGCTTTAGCGAGATCATCTCCACTACCCCATGGAGAATGGAGTATATAAAAAAAATACTATTAGTACATATAAATATAAAATTATCTATACTACACTAAGTAAAAATTGGTATTTAGAAACCCACAACACGAGAATTAGTACGTCGAGCGAAATAATCCAAACAAGAAAACCTTCATGTATATACCATGTATTAAATTGTGAATCGCTAAATGCTAATTCTAATCCTATAAATGAAAAACAACACATACCAGAAATACTACAACTCCAAACCTCAACCATGATAAACCAACATAAACATCTCTATAGATCATGCCATGTATGGCAAGTATCCATAAATATACCCTACTCTGGGGTAATCTAACATGTGATCATCACTACAACTGTGTATGTATGTGTGTGTGTGTGTGTGTGTGTTATATATATATGTATGTATGTATATATATATATATATATATCAACATGAAATAACGATACTCTTGTAAGTTACTCACAATATCATGTGAAAACAACATCCTTACTCAATCACGTTCTACGGAGATAGGTAAATCACCATATTCCGGAATGATGCATCCAGATGATCGTACAATGGAGTGTAGAAATATCAGCCCAATCCGAAAACCCCGACCATCTTCGAGTATGGTATAACTGCGATCTCATTGCGATAAAACGTCCAACTCTAAGTGTGGTATAGGCGTGGTCTCATTGCGGGCAAACTACTCATCACTTAGCATCCACCATTGATGAATTATGTGTTATATATGTGTGTTATTCCAACACTATTAACTCAATCATGTATTATGCATCTCAATTTAACATATGAACTCAACTAAGAATATGTATTCAAGTGTTCGTGCACGTATCCGATGTGCGGATCTATATCTCATGTTCACAAACATCTCAGGTGTTAAACAGATAACAAACAACACACTACAATATGAGTTGATTGAGAAAATCCCTTGAATTCAACAAATATAACTCAAAACATGCACATGCATATGTATGCGGGTCGGTCGATCGGGCATGCTTCGCCGGCCGGTCGCTTCGCCGATCGACCGGCCAGAGGCCCTGAGCCTGTTTTATTTATCGTGTTTGTGATTCTAACTTGTTTAACTTGCTGTAAAACATGTAAAAGACATTGTAAATATTTTTTAACACTATTGAAGTTAATCTAACACATGAAACAAGAATTATTACATGAGATATCATATACAAACCCTAACATGTACAAAAACATCAAAACGTTGAGAAAATAATTAAAACTCATTTAAAACTCATGTTTAATTACTTTCATATCTCAATTTACCTCAAATAACTTGTTCATAATCTTTTAAACACGAAAAGATCATATCTTTATCTCATATATTATAAAAAAAAACTATTTTTATGCATGAAAATAAGTTTTAAGCTCAATAAAACCAAATCAAATCTCATTAAAACAATTTAAAACATGGGTGTAGGGTTAGCAGAGATGAAACTCGCCTAAAAAACTTGTTGAAAGCCCGAAAGTGCAACACAACTCAGATCCCCTTAGCCACACGCCAACAATTTTGCCTTCACGTCGAAAATTGCTTCACAAATCTCTTGGAATCTCTAAGATTGGATCGAGGGTTTATGAGGGAGATGGTGACTGCTAGGGTTCAAGAGTTTTGATATAAGAGGGGTGAAATTC